CACTCACCCTGTTATATTTTCTTTATACCTCTATTTAAATGTACGTTTATTTTTGTTTTCTCATTGTCACACACTGAATATAAGCTCCATGACAAAAGCGACCCAGGATCTGTCCCCGTGTCACCAGCGCCTAGAAGAAACAGCGTCTGATCCCATTGCTGTTCAGTAAGAATTTGAATAGTGGCTGGCTGGAGTTTGGGGAGGGTCGCTCAGGCGGCAGCCGCTTGAGCCACCCAGAAATGCGAAACCGAATCAGCCCGCACATAGGAGTGCGGCCACTTTCTCTGGCCCCACGGAGCTGAAAACTAAAGCAGCACTGACTGCAGGAGTCAGGGATCCGAGTTCCCCACCCCAAACTTTTCCAGACCGGAAGCAGCGGGAGGCGTTTCCGGAGGTGGAGACAGCTGGCGGCGGAAACGCCGCTGAGACTGGCAGCTGTGGTGGGGACGTTGCCACGGGGCTCAGTGCCTGTGAGTGCTCACCACCCCACTAGTTCCCGACCTCGCAGCCTCCCTCCCAGCCCACCCATCTCCCCGGGGTGGAATCTCGGGCCCCAGGCGAGTCGGCTGGGTGTTCCGCGCTCCCCTCCGACGGCTTGGTCTGTGTTTGAGGGTTGCCCTGACAACAGTCACTTCCGGGGGCGGGACTGGGTGAATCCCTGGGGCAGGCGCGGGAGGAGACTGGCTGCTCGTTTCTCGACAGCACCTGCTTCTGGGAGTGGGTTGCCAAGTCTACGCGTACGGTAGGTTAACCCCGCCCCCTCAGATTTGGACCCCAAGCTGGCGGCCCCTCTGATTCTCTTTCTTTGTTGCTCCTAGCAACAGGTACTTCCGGGAGCGAGTGCCGTTTCCCTCGCACCGCAGGCGCTGGAGCCGTAGGTTCCGGCCTCTAAAGACCGGTTGTCCGTCGTGGCTGCTGGCCCCTCGAGTTCCCGTGGGCCGCGCATCCCAGGCCTTCTCGCCTCCTCGGCGGGGCCTCCGGTGCCGCCATGGTTCTGCTGCACGTGAAGCGGGGCGACGAGAGCCAGTTTCTGCTTCAGGCTCCGGGGAGCACGGAGCTGGAGGAGCTCACGGTGCAGGTGGCCCGGATCTACAACGCGCGGCTCAAGGTGCAGCGCCTGTGTTCAGGTGGGCCCCGAGGCGCGGCGAGTCTGCGGGCCGGGTCTGTGGGGCCCGAGCCAGGGCAGGGTGGGCTCCTGGGCCGCGCAGGGCCCCGGAGGGAGAAGAAACGGGCCATTTGGGACTGAGGGAGTTGGGCAGACCCACAAGGCTTTCTCCGGCCGTCTGGGGGGCGAGGGTCAAGTGTGCGAATATTTGTGAAGACGTGCAGTTGCAGGGCTTGAAATGGGACACGGTGGTTCACCAGAGATGCACAAAGAGCCTGCTTACAGGAGAGCCGCGAGAGAGGCCAAGTGCGCGCCCAAGGGGCTCGGAGCCAGGATTGGGGGGCTGGGAGGAACACACTCGAAATAGACGGGTAGGGAGGGAAGAGCACCGGGAGGGAGCCGAAAGACTGGGCCGAAGAGCAGGTGTAGTGGAATTCAACAAATGTAAGATGGGGAGCGATCGCTGGCCGTTTTTAAAAGATGAATTCACTCTTTGGACACTTCCGACGGAGAGCTTTAACGGTGAACCACCCAGCTTTGGGACGGCCCCTCAAGGCTGAGAAGACAGTAACGAGCCTTGGTGACCTTCCTCTCCAGGAAACACAGCCCTGTTTCTCAGAGTACAGCATTTTGGTCACCCTATTCTCAGCACTCGAGAGCAGGGCCGTCCAAGGACATTTACCATCGCGATGGGAGTGTCCCGTGTTTGTGCTATCCAGTAAGGTATCCACTAGCCACATGCGGCCGGTGAGCATTTGAAATACGGCTAATGCAGCCCAGGAACTGCATTTTTAATTTTTCGTTTCATTTTAATTACATTTAGTCAAGCGCAGCTAGTATCTACCTCATTAGACAGCACAGAACTTGACATGATGATACTCCATATATAGTCTAGGATGTTGAGTGTTTTTATAATTATAATGTGATTTTTGTACCGTGGAGAACTTCTTAACGGTCATGGTTTTACCTTTATGAGGCAGACATATAGTTTCTTAGTTACAGTTTCTTAGTACTGATTCCAAAACAAGCTTAATATTAAATGTTATTTTAAAATTAAAACATTTAGGGAGAAAAGCGACTCAACTTATTTTTATAAAATTATCAGTTGAAAATATACCGACTGTTAAGTCACGTTAGTGAACTTGGAATTCATAAATTTATTCTATAGTCGCCATTGTCAGCTGTGGTTCAGACAGGCCCCAGGGCTCTGCCAGATGAAAACAAGGATGAAGGAGACCAGCTGCTTGGCTCCCAGAGGCTTGGAGTCTGCTGGGGAGAACTCCATTCAGTCACACTGCTTCATAGCACTGTATTCACAGCCTACCTGGTGTCCTCGCCGCATTATAGGAAGACACAGATCCCCTCTTCTTGTTAAGGA